TCCTTTTTCTCCAGATCCTTGCCAGCATCTGTTGTTGTTTGTTTTATTAATGATTACCATTCTTACAGGGGTTAGGTGGTATCTCAGTGTGGTTTTGATTTGCATTTCTCTGATGATGAGTGAGGCTGAGCACTTTTTCATGTGTCTGTTGGCTGCCCATATATCTTCTTTTGAGAAGTGTCTAATCATGTTTTTTGCCCACTTTTTAAAGGGGCTGCTTGTTTTTTTCCTTTCGGTGCATTTGACTTCCTTGTAGATCCTAGATGTTAGGCCTTTACACAATTGAATATTATGCAGCCATAAAGAAGGATAAATATATGGACTTTGTGCTAACTTGGATAGATTTGGAGTCAATCATACTCAGTGATTAATCAGAGAAACAAAGAACTGAGTTCCATATGTTCTCACTCATAATTGAAAAATTATAATGCTGTAAGACAGCGATTGGCAGTAGTGGAAAACTGTCGGGGGGGTGGGACTGGCAGTTGAGGGAAACTGCTAGTAGAGGGAGGGGCATACTTCATCAACAAGGGTACCTGCATGGTCAATGTTTATATACCTAACCCTGAATTGTACTCCACATCTTTATAATAAATAAATAAATAATATATATATATATATATATATATATATATATATATCTCACAATCCCATTCACAATTGCAACAACAAAAAACAAAATAGAAATTCCTTGGCATTTTCCTAACCAGAGAAGTGAAAGACCTTTACAACAAAAACTACAATACACTGCACAAAGAAATAAAAAATGACACAAAAACAGATGGAGAATATTCCATACTCATGGATTGGAAGAATCAACATTGTTAAGATGTCCATCCTATCCAAGGCAATCTACAGATTTAACATAATACCCATTAAATTACCAGCAGCATTCTTCTCAGATCTGGAAACAACAATACAGAAATTTATATGGAAACAAAAATGACCACAAATAGCCAAAACAATCCTCAGCAAAAGAAACAAAGCAGGAGGTATCACACTTCCAGATTTTTAAACTTTATTATAAAGCCATAATATCAAAATAGCCTGGTATTGGTACAAGAACAGGCATATAGGCCAGTGGAACAGGATAGAGATCAAGGAAGCTAAATCTCAATCTCTCAACCAACTCATCTTTGACAATGCCTCCACCAACAACCACTGGGGGGAGAAGAACCTATTCAGTAAATGGTGGTGGGAAAACTGGCTGACCACATGCAGAAGGTTAAAAAAAGACTCCCTACTTATCATCATACACAAAAGTCAATGCTAAATGGATCAAAGACCTAAATGTAAAACTTCAAAATATACGAACCTTAGAAAATGCAGGAGACTTCCTTATGGAAATTGGAACAGGCAATCAATTCCTGATCAAAAACCCAAATGCCCATGCCACAACAGGTAAGATAGACAAGTGGGACCTCATCAAACTGAAAAGCTTCTGCAAAGAAAAAAAACCCATCAAAACAGTGGGGAGTTAGCCCACAGACTGAGATAAAATATTTGCCAACTCTATATCTGACAATGGCCTAACATCCAATGGCCTAACATCCAGGATTTACAAGGAACTCACACATACTGAAAAGAAAAATACAGACAGCCCTATTAAAAAGTGGACAAAAACATGAATAGACACTTCTTTTAAGAAGAGTCTTAAAAAGAGAAATGAAAAAATGCTCAACCTCAGTAATCATCTAAGAAATGCAAATTAAATCCATTGATATACCACCTAACTCTAGTAAGGATGACTATTATCAATAACTCAAAAAGCAACAAATACTAGAGAGGATGTGGGGGAAAGGGAAAACTTCTACACTGTTGGTAGGAGTGTAAACCAGTACAGCCTCTGTGGAAAATAGTGTGACGATTCCTAAAACATCTAAAAATTGACCTTCCATAAGACCCAGTAATCCCCCTTCAGAGACTGTACCTTGAGGAACTCAAATCACTCTTTGAAACAGATACCTGCACATGCATGTTTATTGCAGCATTATTCACAATGGTGAAAACGTGGGACCAATCATGTTGCTCATCAAAAGTGGACTGGATTTAAAAAAGTGGTACATATACATGATGAAATATTATGCAGCCATAAATAAGGACAAAATTATGTGCTTTGCAGCAACTTGGATGCATTTACAGTCTATGATACTCAGTGATCTATCACAGAAACAAAGAACTGAGCACCACATGTTCTTACTCATAAGCAGATCCTGAGCAATTATCATAATATAGTAAGAAAGGGATTGGTAATAGTGGGAAACTGCCAAGGGAAGAGGTGGGGTGGGGGGGGCATACTTCATCAGTAAGGGTACCAGATCTCAAACCAGGCAAAGTGGGGACCAAAGGGAAGCGCAAACTTTGCCTGTGCAATGACCACTTGTATACCTAATCTGAATTGTACCCAATATCTTTAAAATAAAATTGAAATAAAAGAAAAAAGAAAATGTACACATATAAATGGGGTAGTTTAAAGTCATTAAGTTTATAGTAATATCAATTCAGTCTCAACAGATAATCACAAATTTTCTTTGCTGAAATGAATTCATGAACTGATACACACAGTGCACGATATGCATGAAATAATATCTTTCCTAACATTTTTAATGCTTTTTCATTTATAATTTTATGTGATGCAGTTGCATTTTAATACAATATTTCATTTCTTCATTGATCAAAAATTAATGTGATGCCCACTATGTACCAGGCATGACTTTATATGCTGCAGATTCGACTTAGACCCAAGTCCCAAGTCCATGTGCTTATGTGCCTCACTTTCTAGAGGCTTCAGAAGACTGACATGGAGCCACTGGAGCATTTTAAGTCAAACATGACATGATATGATTCACATTAGCAGGACTGCTGACCACTGTGGGGAGAATATTCGGGTAGCAGGTGAGGGGACAGCATTAACATCATAATTCAATAGTGAAGAGTTATGGGAACTAAAAGAAGAAGAGGACCTGAGGGATGGGAGGGAAAGAGAGAAGGGTTGGAGAAGCAGGAGGTGAGGAAAAGGAGCAGGGGGAAAATTCTAAAGCAGTGGAATTCTCAGATGTTTTAAACACAGCGTTTTATAAAGTTTGCATACATCTATCTAAAGAGCCTAGCTGGGTGTCCTCTGCATTTGTTAATTAATACAGTTGTGGGACTGCCTAAAAACAAGTGTCCTGTGAATCAGGTTCAAAAAATACCAAGTGTCCCCACAAAATACCCACACATTCACATGTGAGTCATTCATGAAGACCCGCAGTGCTGGAGCACTGGAGAAGGGCATTTTTGTGCAGGTTTCTGGTTGCAACATACAGTAACAAATCGTGCTTCTTTGTATCGAAATGTCCTGGACTCAGACTCCGAAACTCGGAGCTACGGAATGAAGATAAATTTAAAATACAAAAACGCAGAGTCACAGATACATAGACTAGGAAAGTAAACTTGGGAACTTTGTGAGTGTGATTGCAATGCTGTTTAGACACATAAACATATGAAGGGACCAAAGTCACTTCTTTTACAGATAAGATTCCTGATCACTCTGGGGTTTCCGAGATTGTGCTGCTCTTTGTAGTTAATTAACAGAAAGGAAACTCGTCTCTAGCAGATTCTTTCTCTGGTGCTTTCAGACACAACTCCAGTTTTAAAGAGAAAACCCCTGTCCTTACATCTGCATTCCCAGGGGAGCTCACTCTGGCATGAGGTTGCCTGGGGTGAGTTTTATTCTAGAAGAGTCCAGGGGCAGAGGATGAGTGGAAGGAAGGGATTCCGTTCAGGGAGACAGATTCCCCGACAAGAAGTGAAGGGAAAGGGGCTGAGTCCAGCCTGGGGGTCTCTCCCTGGTTTCCACAGATAGGCCACACAGGGAGACAGTGTGACAAAGATCGCTCGGTATCAGAGAAGAGGGGTCAGGACCAAGTCCCAGGTCCCCGGGCGAGGCTCTCAGGGCCTCAGGCCCCGCGGGCGGCGTTTGGGGCGGGGAGGCCCCGCGTGGAGGATTCCCCAAGCCCGGAGTTTCACTTCTCTCCAACCTGCGTCGGATCCTTCCTCGCGGATACTCGTGTCGCGGCCGCACTTCTCCCTCCCACCGGGAGTCGGGTTTGTGGCGAAGCCAATCAGCGTCCCGCGGTTCCCGCTACCCGGAGTCTCCCCTGACCCGACGATGCCGGCCACGGCGCCCTGCA